GCTTTACCAATCAAAAAATGTTCAAATAAAGGTCGGAACGAAATTTACTGTTAACATTTTTAAATAGATAAAATACTTTTGTTACAAAATTAATTGTAAAATACTATCATGCCAATTTTAAAAAGGGGTAGGCAGAAATAACGTTTTTACATATAAACATGCGTGTAGTGTTACAATTTCATTTTAGCTTAAACATATGTATATGTTAACCCTTTTATCGTAAGCTTATTTAACAGAAATCATAATTATTTAAATATGATTATGGATAGGCTTCCGAAATGGGATCTTGACATTAAATAAAAAAGTACTCAAACTGGAAACAGCTTTGGTGATATTAAGAGTAAAAAATACTTTTTTATAACCAAGTTTACGTCCAAAATATCAGTCACCGGCGGTCAAAAGGTTAAAACACGTGTTTAACTAAACAATGTGGAACTGTATTTTTTTTAAATAAATGTAATCTCATTTAATAGACATTTAATAATATAATATTGTTAAACGTCTAGCCTTTTAAAATTCAAAAAACTGATTTACATATTTAATTCTCCTTTATGTAAATAAAGCTGAAAAAGTTTCAAAAATAAAGACCTCTTTTAACATTAAAAAGAGCTTTAAATCAAAATGAAAGTCAGATTAACTCCCCAAAGCGATGTTAAGCTCATAACGATGGGGGGTGAGAAATGCTCCAGACTGCGAAACATTTAAACACTCCCCGATGATTTAAAATATCCACAAAAATTCAAACTTTTCCAATTTTCAACAAAAGAATGAAGCAAAAATTTAACAATATAAATTAAAAAAAAAACTTACTAATAGTATCATTATGTAGTACATAATTATATCGTATAACTTACCTTTATACAGCCGCAAGAATAATTAAAAACAAAACACTGAATTTAAATTAAAAAAGAGCACCGATCTCAGAAACGGAAGACACGTCTGCCTCTGACCGCTCCCGCGCGTCGACTGAATTTCAGAGGGTTGCAACCCCCGGTGCAATGCCTATACGAACTAACTTTATACGTATTTCTCGCGCCCCATTCGTACCTTTAATTTCCTTTGCACATATTGACCTTCTTCATCTTAATTCGTATCACTTGAAGCAATTGCTCAGATCAACTGTATTGTACACAAAAAAGAATCTTAAATTAATGTCCATATCGTACAAATTTGTTTGCTTTTAATGTAATACAGTAATCACGTACAACAGGACATGTGTTATTGCGTTTGCTAATAATTTGCGTAAGACATGAACACTAAAACATAATGTCCAAGGAGTTTCAATACTTTCAGTCAGGCCACATAGAAAAGAAATAAATTATTAACAGAAATTATTATATCTATATTCAGATTAATAAAAGTAATTCACGAATACATATTATAATTAACAATTCCTACGCTTAGACACTTCGTACACAAAGCAACGTAAATAGTCGAAACAAATACTGTATGGTTGCGTCGCGAGAATCGCGTTGCGCGCGCTTCGTACATACAACGTTTTATCGTCGACGCGAATCGTCTATTCGGTCAATACAAGCATGATCAACATTTGATCCGCCATCTTGGAAATTGCAATGACTTTCTCACAACGATCTTCATAAACAAGTTGTTGACGTCTTTGGCGATGACAGATAGAGATGTCAACGACGGGCAATGTACGAACCTTTATATTAGTGTAAGTATATTGCTTAGCGACTAAAATCATCGGGTTGCGAAGATTCACGTATGTTGTGTACGAAGGTCCTTACGCACGCACCTTATTTTAATAAAACTCCTTCGAACACTGTTAAAACACATGTATAAAAAGATACCTCTGTCCTTTTCAATTCTTATTACAATTATAGAGATAACTATATGTTTGACATGACTGTTTTTGTTTTTACTGAAAATAGTTTCTAAGGATTAATATATTTCTTGATAAATACATTTAATAAAACCGTTTTTCCTTTAAATATATACGGATATAAATATTATTTTATATCGCATGTTGCAATGCAAATAAAGCTGTCAACACGTCAGAGTCACCTTGATGAATGTTAGCGTATTGTCGCGTGAAATGCGCAACGCTTATCGAACGAAGGGGGGAAAATAAATAACGTTACCGCTGTCGTATATAGAATGAGTAGGAAGACAATAATTTTCTCGGCACCAGGATCCCATGAAAAAAATTCAAACGACTTTCGCTTATAAAGTGCAAGACAGCCAAATACCCTGATTGTACATAAAAGCAATCATCATCATCATCAGCTCACTATACGTCCCCACCGAAGGGCTCGAAGCCTACCCTAAGTTAAGGGTGATTAGGCCATAGTCAACCACGCTGGCCAAGTGCCTGTTGGTTGACTTCACACATATCTTTCAATTTCTTCTCAGATATGTTGCAGGTTGCATCACGATGTTTTCCTTCATCGTAAAAACGTCGGATATGTACATATGTAAAATTGGAAATCGAAAAACACATTGGTACATGGCGGGATTCGAACCCAGTGTAGTGTATGCATAAACGTAGTGTTGTTTGTCTCGAGCGTACACGCCATAAGTACATGCCGGAGAGAGGGGACAGTCAGTCGATGTCAGACCTTTGAGCCGGCAACACGTGTCGGTACGTGAACGAGCCAAATATAGCACAACGAATGCTACATTGGCGACGAGGATAAAACCGTGAGTACGGAAATAAATTGTATTTGAAAAAAAAAGGAAAGAGAAGACCAGTGTGTAAAAAAAAAAACATTTCAGTAATTGATGGACGAAAGTATTGTTTAAATTATTTTGCCTTACCTTACAAAAAAAAATAGTAGGTAACGGATTGCCAAAAATAGCAACAGTCTTCTCTGTTTACATATGATTTGTAAAACGTGGCCTTAAGTAGTTCCCAGCCGTGAATGTTTTAAAAACGGTTCAGAATGTAAACTTAACCAATTGAATATCGAGATAAGATCACAATATTTTACTATCAGAGAAACAGATTCATTGCTGTGCTCGTCCGTCTAAGTTGTTAACTACAAAGTGCACTACGATGTCACATCGAAGTACATGTGCAAGCGACAAATTAATTCCGGTCTATTGATGAAGCAGGAAATGAATAATGATTAAGAAAAGAAAATATCGAACATTTAAATGATAAAATAAACATTACTACGAGGGTAGTATATCCACGACATATACATATACTGTCATGATTTCGACCAAAATCAATAATCAAATGCATTTCTAAGACTGTCTTCGACCGATGGTTGACAAATAGTGTGTAGATGGATAATAGCATTCGGCGATGTTAATCTCGGTCAACCTTATGTGTATACATAACTTCAATAACATAGGTACAGTCACCTCCAATAAAGTGTCAGCGATGGAGAAATGGCAAAGAGTGCAAAGAAAAAAGAACTCTGCTGGTACGATCGCTTGTATTCTACATATTCCTTTATGCGTCCGAAACGTGGACCCTACGAGAGAGTGAGAAAAAGAAGATAGACGCGCTCGAGATGTGGTGCTGGAGAAGAATGCTGAAGATACCTTGGACCACCAATGTACTAAAAAGGCAGCGACTAGGTGGCGTCTAGTAAAGCAGATCACTGATACATGATGACCATGACCAATCTGACAAAACTGTAACGACGAAGAAGAAGAACTTTCGCACTTGTCTACAGAGTATAGCTGACCATTAAATTGGTTAGATCATTGGTGTCTTGGAGATATAACAAAAACCACGGCTGACCATTAAATTGGTTAGATCATTGAATTGTTACAGGTATAAAAGCACCACGGCTGACCATTAAATTGGTTGGATGACTCATGTCTTACAAGTATGAAAACTGCATAGCTGACCATTAAATTGGTTAGATCATTGAAGTCTTGCAGATAAAATAGAACCACGGCTGTCCATTAAATTGGTTAGAT